CTACTCAGGAGGCTGAGGCAGGAGAATTGCCTGAACCCAGGAGGCGGAGGTTGCGGTGAGCCGAGATCGCGCCATTGCACTCCAGCCTGGGTAACAAGAGCGAAACTCCATCTCAAAAAAAAAAAAATAAACAAATAAATAAATAAATAAATGTATGTATGTATGTATGTATGTTTCTCTTTCTGCTATATGCCTTGAAAATTTCCACAAACTTAAGATGGTTGTTTCCTTTATAATATTCTATCTGTATACTATCCATGGAACTCCTGATACTGCCATTCCAAAGTCATTTCCTGTACCAATTATTCGTATTACTTTTTGAGAGAGAGCCTTACTCTGTCACCCAGGCTGGAGTGCAGTGGCGTGATCTTGGCTCATTGCAATCTCTGCTTCCTAGGTTCAAGCAATTCTCCTGCCTAAGCCTCCAGAGTAGCTGGGATTACAGGTGCATGCCACTACGCCTAGCTAATTTTTGTGGTTTTAGTGTAGAGGGGGTTTTACCACCGTGGCCAGGCTGGTCTTGAATTCCTGACCTCGTGATCCACCCACCTCAGCCTCTCAGTGCCAGGATTACAGGCGTGAGCCACTGTGCTCAGCCAGTAAGAATTCTTAATGATTATTTTATCACTCTCTTCTGAGACAGTTGAGCAATTATAAGGTGTTTGCAAAGACAGCTCTATGGCAAAATGATGATGTCCATTCTCAGCACAAAGAATACAGGAGAGCAGCACTTAAGCAGCTTTCCCTTTCTTCTTGAACTACCCCTTACAGCGTGGCTTTAGTATTTTATTTTTTTGTTACAAATTCAACAGGGAAGGTCAAACCAAGTACAAAGGACTATTGAGCATCACACCACTTCATCATCCCCAAGTTCGTTGGTACAAATTATCAAGAGTTGTCTATATTTTTAAAAACCATACAACCATCATGAAATTTTACCTCTGCAATCGTTTCTGATAGAGGTACATTGTGAATATCCATCTGTGATGCATTTACAATGGCTTTTGTTTTTAAGAGATAGCTAGATAGGAAAAAAGACAAAATATTAGTGTCATACCACACTTAAGATTACAAATGAACTAAATTTGCCTTCTAAAGAAAATAATGTGTCAAACAAAGCCTGCCTTCTTACTGATTTTCATTTCAAGACTCATGTATCCATGGGTACAATATCTATGGCTTCAAACAATCATAGACTAGAAATATTCGGGGGAAAAAAATGGATCTTGTCTGTACTGAACATGTACAGATTCTTTTTCTTGTCACCATTCCCTTAACAACGTAACAGCTTTGTAAACTTGCTATGTAAATTTGTAATGTACATAGCATTTATATATTAACTATCATAAGTAAACTGAGATGATTTTAAAGTATAAAATATATACATTTATGCTTTAAAAAGGAGGATATCCAAAAGTAATATGCAAATATTATACCATTTAATATCAGAAAATTGAGTGTCCACGGATTTTAGTATCTGGTTGGGTCCTGGAACCACGGATACCTGAAGGATGACTGTAATTTGTTGAAAAAAGAAATTCAAAAGTAAACAAATTGAGAGGATCTCTGACTCATCCTATCAGAGACAAAATTATCTCAGAGTAAACTAAGACAAAACCAGACTTATATGAATAATTATGATGAGTATAAGCTTTACACTTTACCAGTAGGATCCTGTAGCATAGTTTGAAGCAAAGTAATCCCAGTGTGAGACATAGTGTTGGTTACCTATTTCCAGTAGCTATTCCTCACTGTTTTTTGTTTTTTTTTTTAAAGATGGAGTCTCGCTGTCAGGCTGGAGTGCTGGATTCTCCTGCCTTAGCCTCCCAAGTAGCTGAAATTACAGGCGTGTGCCACTATATCCTGCCAATTTTTGTTTTTTTGTTTTGAGACGAAGTCTTGTTCTGTCACTCAGGCTGGAGTGCAGTGGCCGCTATCTCAGCTCACTGAAAGCTACACCTCCTGGGTTCAAGTGAATCTCCTGCCTCAGCCTCCCGAGTAGCTGGGATTACAGGCGCGTGCCACCACACCTGGCTAATTTTTGTATTTTTAGTAGAGATGGGGTTTCACCATGTTGGCCATGGTGGTCTTAAACTCCTGACCTCAGGTGATCCACCCGCCTTGGCCTCCCAAAGTCATGGGATTACAGGCATGAGCCACCATGCCTGGCCCATTTTTCTTTTGTAAGAGACAGGATCTTGCTCTGTTGCCAATGCCAGAATACAGTAACACCATCATAGCTCATTGTAACCTTGAACTCCTGGGCTATAGCTATCATTCCACCTTAGCCTCCCAAGTAGCTGGGACTATAGGCATGCACCACCACACACAGCTAATTTTTAAAAATTTTTGTAGAGACAGAGTCTTGCTATGTTGCCTAGGCTAGCCTCAAACCCCTAAGTTCAAGTAATCCTCTCAACTCAGCCTCCCAAAGTGCTGAGATTACAGGCATGACTCATCTTGCCTGGCCAGGTATTCATTCTTGATCTAATACCTGGGAGTGGGAATCACACGATATAAATATGGTCCCAACGCCTGACCTATGAGAGGAGACAGAGGCTGGGCACGAACCCAAAAGCCATCTACTACAACATTATTTTGTAAAAGCTTAGCTTCTAGAATTTTTTTTTTTTTTTTAAGACGGAGTTTCGCTTTTGTTACCCAGGCTGGAGTGCAATGGCACGATCTTGGCTCACCGCAACCTCCGCCTTCCTGGGTTCAGGCAATTCTCCTGCCTCAGCCTCCTGAGTAGCTGGGATTACAGGCACGCGCCACCATGCACAGCTAATTTTTTGTATTTTTAGTAGAGACAGGTTTTCACCATGTTCACCAGGATGGTCTTGATCTCTTGACCTTGTGATCCACCCGCCTCGGCCTCCCAAAGTGCTGGGATTACAAGCTTGAGCCACCACGCCCAGCCTAGAATGTTCTTTTTATCTTTTATTTTTTTTGGGGGGGGGAACAGAATCTCATTTTGTCACCCAGGCTGAAGTGCAGTGGCGTGATCTTGGCTCACTGCAACCTCTGCCTCCAGGGTTCAAGCGATTCTCCTGCCTTGCCTCCTGAGTTGCTGGGACCACAGGTGTGTACCACCATACCTGGCCTATTTTTGTATTTTTTAACAGCAATGGGGTTTCACCATGTTGGTCTCGAACTCCTGACCTCAGATGAACCACCCACCTTGGATTCCCAAAGTGCTTGGATTACAGGCATGAGCTGTTGCACCTGACCATAAAATTTTCTTTTTATTAATTTTTTAAAAGGGGGTGGTTTGAGATGGCAGGCCTCACTATATTGCCTAGACTGGATTCAAACACCAAGACTCAAGGGATCTTCCTGCCTCAGCCTCCTGGGTAGCTAGAATTACAGGCACATAACAGCACATCTGCAAAATTTCTTTAATGAAAGAATACCCTCTGAATTATTCCATGGTATGATTATTAAGATATGGTTGGGCCGGGCGCGGTGGCTCAAGCCTGTAATCCCAGCACTGTGGGAGGCCGAGGCGGGTGGATCACGAGGTCAAGAGATCGAGACCATCCTGGTCAACATGGTGAAACCCCGTCTCT